ATTGCTTTGGTAATTATAATAAAGGGTTCAATTTCCTTCTCGGTCGCTGTGAATTGGCGAATTTTTGTAAGTTCCATGTCGACTATAAAAAAGGAAAAATCGATTAAAATGTAGCATATTTAATATACACATATATTTTCAAAGAGATGCAGCTGTTTTCTGAGAGAGTGACATATTATATTATATTCCCCTTTATTTACAGTGTATACAGAGTACGACTTGCCGTACTTTTTGACATGTTCTTGATATGGTTTTTTTTTCCTAAGCTCTGGTAGGAATTTATTTTGATTTGCAACAAATTTGCTGCGGCATTGTGTATTTTGTGTGTGAATGTGTGTGTGTGTGCGTGCGTTGGTGTATGCTTAACGTTTTATTGCTTTTCACACTCGTCACTCGCCAGTTGCCACTTGCCACTTGCCACTCGAGGCAGTTGAGGGCCCGCCGGGAGGGTTGTCTTTAGCGCCTGGAACTGGGCGCTTTGTTTACTTTGTTTGTGGCGTGAATAGCAAATAAGCCGCGACAAATGCGATTCGATCCCATAGTTCTCTGTGGCATTGTGCGGCCTGGATTTTCCTCTGCGATTTGATGGACCGAAATGTGGCGCGAACCGCAGCTGTAAATACATTTATTCTAATTACAGCACATTCAGCAAACGCTGCAAAATAATTTAAACATTTGCCGCCTCATTAGTTGGCTGTGATATCGAAAATAAAATTGCAGCAAAATACTCGTTAAATGGCAAAATGCATTGGCCGTAATACTCTGTGGCCACAAAACCAATTTGCGTTACAAATTTATATCAGCCAAAGCTTCCTCATCCACCCAGCATATTGGAAAATTAAATGCAATTGCTTTGGCTTTGGCTTTGGCTCTGGCTTTGGCTCTCGTTTCTCGGGTCTCGTGTCTGTGGTTGCAGAATTGATTGATTTTGCTGTGACAGCAACAGTAATTGAAAATATTTGTTAACTATTAGTTTATCCATTCCCATATCCACATCCATAGCGATGCCACCTGGTTACCTGCTTGCCTGTTTACCTGCGTCAGGCATCCCTTCCTGGGCACACTTCCGTAATTCCCTTCAGCTTCTTACAGTGGGCCGCCTCGCGTTTAATCCCACTTCAAGCGAAGCCTCAAGAGGCTCCTCATTCTTTCTTATCTATTGATGCGCCAAAGCGTGTCAGCTGCTTGGCTGTGGGAAGCAGGCAGCAGGATGAGGCACGGAGGAGGGAAGTGGGCTGGGCAAGGGCTGTTTGTGGTTCCATCGCTACAATAACAGAAAAGCCTTTTTACAATGCGCTCCACAGATTTCAATGTATTTTCAACAACTCCAATTCCAAATACCCCGCAAACGAAAAAAATTTAGAGGGGGTATACCAAATATGTGTTCCAAGTAGCAACAACTTTATAAGTCTTAGCTATGCTACGATGCAGGGTATTTTGTAGTCGAGCCATGCCATTTCGTTCGCTCCCATGTTTTCTGAAACATTTATTTATTTTTTTTAATTCGTTGCAAATTGAATAGACGACAGTGACGATTGCCATATAGCATTATCACCTACACCCAAAGTTTTGAATAGCTTGTAAGCAATTGGTTCGATTCCTAGTCAGTCTCTCATACCAGAGAGCCTTTCCTTCTCCCCCAGCTCGTGCTCCCCCTGCTCCATCTATACCATTAGCTTTTGTATTTCGGCTGCGTCGCGTATATCACATTTCCGTTTGTTAGCATTTTTCCGCATTGTATATTCGCATACTGACTCGCACGAGTGTATTCATGTACGAATATGAATAGCAAGAAGTTTTCTGCTCAACTTGATAGCCCCAAACACAAACCCAGCCCGAGCCCCAGCCCCAGCCACGCAACTGAAGCCCTTTCCAACCCAATTCAACTTGCATGCAAAAAAATTGCCATTGTAAATTTTGACTGGGGTTATGCGAGCGGCAAGGGTTTTCCCTCTCTCTCTCTCCCACTCCCACTCTCCACTGGATGCTGTTGTGTTGCTTTGAAGGCAGCTCACGCCCTCCTCAGCTGCCTGCGTTTGTAAATATTTTCCACACGTCTACACAAAAGGTAGAACTAAACTATGCTCATTGATTTCTTTCTTCAAGCAATGCATTAGCGCTAGTTGAACGATGATTTATAACGGTATGCCGATTTGGTCTGCCTAATTTCCTAGGTCTTCATTTGAGAGTCTATCAATAACTTGTGCTTAGCAAGTGCACGCATTTTAATGTTATGTTATAAAGATTGTCCTCCTACAAAAAGGTATTATTCCCATAGAAAGCAAAAACAGCAGCGTTGCATGCGTGGGTACGAGTGTGCGTGTCTGTGTGAATGTGCATGTGTGTAAGCAAAAAAAAAGTAAGTACTCTTCTAAATGCATTTCTTCTAAGAATTTCCTCTCAGTATTTTATCCAAGTATTTCTTCTATGAATTTCCACCATGTATTTGTTCTAAGTTTTTTCTCCAAGTACATATTCCCTTCAAGTATTTCCCCCAAGTATTTCCTCTAAGTCATCAATGCTTAGCTGAACGATCACACACTTTATTTAACTTTTCTTTACTGCACTGAACTACTGACCTCCAGCAGGTTTGGACGACTGAAGAACTGCTGTAGCTGCTGCCCTTTATATAGGACGACTACCACTCAAAGCACAAGACGCGCTCAGCCGACAGTTAGAGATCGTTGCAGTTGAGCATAAAATAACCAATGGAGCACTCTCTGATGCTTCAAGTATTCTAACTTTGTCTCACTCAACTATAAACACCAAATGAGTACTGCTGCACACATATAGACAACTCAAATGATCTTCTGTAGTTGTTCTTCATCTTGTATTTTTGTGAAGCAGTCGAACAGAGAGACATACGGAGAAATAGACCATGAGGTAAACAGAGAGACAGAGAGAGACAGAGAGGCTGTAGCCAGACAACCGATCGTATACATACATAGACAAACAAATATTAGTTCAAGTATTAACAATCTCAGTGGCTATAAGAGCTAGGTTGGTTTATTAACCGTTCAGATCTCGTTTGTTTCTAAAAATCGAGAGCTATTCTGTATGTATATGAAATTACATGAGAAAACTCTTAAAGAGAGCCTTTTTATTGCTGACCTTCAAAGTTTTTTTTTTCTGTGCAGAATGAATGCATATTGTTTTCTTAATCTATCAAATGGAATCAGCGCCTTTGGCCAATTAATTTCCAGAGCCATTCATGGCTACATCTTGTGGCGACTTCTCCCGAAACTGTGCAACTAACTAAGCTGAACTGAACTGAACTGTGAAATTGTTTGCCAACTAAATGTAAAAATAGAGACACTCGACACAGATAAGAACGCAACTTGTTTGCTTAATAAATAAACTTTATATTCATAACTGAAAAAGTTTTGCGGTGTCGGACGCTTAAGCGGAATGCGGCATGCGGCATGTGGCATGCGGCAGGCAGCAGCGCAGCGAAACAAATGTGGCCGCTAATTTGCGTGGCAAAAAGTTTTCGTGCGGCGCCCTCGAATGTATGCTATGGAATTTGCGTGGCTGTGGCATGCAGCGGCACTGCGGAGGCGCCACGAGCTGAGCGCGACGGCATTTCCGCTGGCTGAGTTAGCTGGCTGAGTGCAAGGCGCACAACATAAATTATGCGAGCATCTTCCGCATCAGCTGCTCCGCGCTATCTGCGCCGTGGCCGCTAATCACAAAAGTTTTTGCCAATGCGTTTCTGCTACCTTCAATTGCCACTCGAGGAAACTTTGGCGCTGCCAACGGCAGAGCGAAAGAGAGAGAGAGAGAAAGAGAGAGAGAGCGGGGGCAAAAGGGTTAAGCAGAGTTGGCGAAAGTCTCGGGTTCCAAAGTTTCTGCAGCACTGATTAACGAGACATAATTATTTTTGCATTAAGCGGCGGCTAATAGGCCGTGTAATACCAAAGTTTGTTTTTGCCCTCAGATCAGCTCATCAGACCATCGAAAAAGCGGGGGAAAAATGTAGAGACACTCGAAGATAATGAAAGTGCATTCAGGTGGCAAAAGTCGGAGACAGGTCGAGTGCTAACATTTTTCCATTATCCGATGTGCCACATTCTTTGCCAGCATAAAAACCAATTGAAATCTAAACAATACGAAAATTCGATGCTCTACAATAAATTAGAGCTGGCCTCTAGGAGCGTAGGCAGAAAATGTATGATATTTTATGATGTATGTGAATTGAAATAAAACCAATTATAAAGAATACGAATATACTCTATACTTGCTTGTCTGGGAAACTAGCTCTAGACTTTTAATGTACGTACAGTACATGCTCTCTTGAAGGGTATCAATATGGCTGGGCCGTGGCAGGAGGCAGCCTGGAAAAATGCAACATTTGAGTGCCTGCAGCGAAATGTCTGCTGTTCTATGGTTGGCCAACGCAGCCAGTGTCTGCCTTGATGAGAAAACTGTTCCGAAGCGGAGGGTTAAAAGCTGAAATCGTTTCGAGCCAGCTCAGCCAGTGACAGCGACAGCCATAGCCAGAGCCACAGCCAGAGCCAGAGCTACAGCCCGATAGCTTGACAACGGAAAGTGTGATTATATTTTCATTTTCAATTTTTTACGGCCAATTAATTTGGCAATTGACGCTTCGCTGGGCGTCTGCGACCGCCCAGATATATGTACGTATATACACAGAGCATATATAGCTGTGGAGAGGGTCTCGCCGCTCGTTGTTGCAAATTGAGTTGTGTGGCAAGAATAAGAAAAGTCTATTATAGTGGCTGCAAAAAGCTGCCTGCCAGCTATTTGGACGCTGCATTGTCTGCCCCGAACAGAATATGAAAGTGCTTTTGTGGGCGGCTTTTGTTGGGGGCGCCCTACCTAATCCCTCTTCCCCACTGCCAGCTATGTCATGCAATTTGCATTAAGATCTGCCATTGAAAATTAGAAAATTCACTCGGCTGCAAGTGTTATTGCTAATGGCAAATGGAAAATGGAAAATGGCAAATGGAATTTACCTTGGTGAGAGCGAACGACTTATTTTTAATGCACTTATGCATCAGTTGCATAGCTTTATTTAGGGATTACACAAGAAAGAAATTACTACATATAACTATAACATTTCGGAGACATCGGAGAACGAGTTGATTGGGGTCGCTACATCGGTCAGTCGGTCGGGGAATGGTTTGGCACATGGTTTCCTCTGCTTAGTTATCGCTAACAATCAGAACATCCTCCAGCTGTACGTTGGGCAGCTCCAACAGCAGCTGCTCGTTCTCGATGCGGCGATCCAGGGGGAAGCCGAGAGGACGGTTGTCCATTATGGAAGCTACGCTCACGCCCATAACGCCATCCAGGCGCTTCATGCGAATCGGCAGATCGCGTTCCAGGCGCTCGACGGGTGAGACGATCGCTAGCAACTGCATGGGCAGACCCTCGGGGCGGCCACGAGGCAGCAGCAAGCGCTGAGGGAAGCTGCCGTTCTCGCCAACCAGATCGCTGACAATAAGCTGATCCTGCTGATCGCGCAGAGCAGTCATCACACGACGGTAGATCTCGCTGTAGGGCGTGGCATCGCGGGTTGTCCAGGCAATGTTCGTCGAGCGGTACTGAATGCGGTTGCGGCCACTCTGCAGTTGGGTATTGATGGCATCCAGAAGCACAAAGTCCGAGCGGCGCTGCTCCAGGGGCAGCTCACGGCCATTCACATCCTGGCGAGGTCCCAAAAACAGGCGAATGATCACATCCTGTGGGCCGTTCGCGCTTATGTCCATGTCAATGGTGAAGGGCTTGTTGTTCAGACGACGTTGGCGCACCATCATTTGCGACTGCAGAGGCTGACCGACCAGGTTGGTCACATCAATGTCGCTGTCCTCGATGCGAGTGCGCAGTTTGTCCACGCGCAGACCGTTGATGACGACATCCTGCAAGTCCAGGCTCTCACGGTTATAGACGCCCAACTGCTGCTCGCGTATTTCATCCACAATGCCGATGATTCTGCGTAGGGTGTGCAGCAGCACGCGGTCGCCCATGCCCAGGCCAGAGCGGTCCATGCGCACAGTGGTGTCCTGGAGCAGCTCACGCAATATGCGCAGGATTCCAATGTCACCAATGCGCCCGATGAGAACATCGCCAATCACACGCTCCAAGCGGAGCTGCTCGTCGATTTGCTGCACGCCAGATCTACGGATGTTGCCATTGCTAATCTCACGGATCACGAGTTCCATCACCTGCTGCAGGCGACCCTCAATGGCATTAATTTGCTCAAGCAGGACTCGATTGCGACGGGAGTCCAGGCGCATGTCGTTCAAGCGGATGGCATAGCGTTGAGCTTGATCAGCTATATTCAGGCGGGAGCTGCCGGGCATCTGCAACTCATCATTGACGCGCAGAGCAATGCGTTCCTGGTTCAGGCGTGCCAACAGCTGGCGCAGAGTTTGCAGTAGAACCTCGCTGCGTCGAGTCGCGGATATGTCCAGAGTGTTGACCAAGCTGCGTCGGTAGCGGTGTCCCTGCTCCACGTTCAGTTTCTGTCCCAGCTCTTTGTGCTGGCGATTGCGACGCAGCATCTCGATGATCTCGTCATCGCTGAGCTCGCTTAGACGATTGTCGCTGCGGATCAGACGCATAATGTCCTCAACTTTCATTGTATCCTCGCCATCAACGCGACGACCCTCTGCAATTGTGTTCACACGACGCGGAGTCAGATTTTCCATTTGTTGGTTAACGCGACGTCTGTTGATGTGCACCAATCGCTCATCATCACGACGCACAGCTTGGAGGTTGTCAGCTCCAGAGCGGATGTTTTCGTCCTGGCGGTTAACACGCAGAAAGCGTTCCTGCTGCTTCTGCTCCTCGCGGTCGCGGTTGCGACGCACCATCTCACTGATGTCGTCAATGTTGACCTGGCCCAGACGGTTGTCCCCGCGTATCGATTGCATAATTTCATCGTTCCTCCAGCTGTCAATGTCGCCAACACGACGGCCCTCGCTCACGCGATCGCCACGTACGATGCCCATGAAGCGTTCCTGTTCCGTTTGGTCCTTAAGCTGACGGTTGCGATGCAGCACGTTCAGGATCTCCTCATCGCTCAATTTCTTCAGGCGGTTATCGCGGCGAATCAGCTGCAGAATGTCCTCATCCTGTATGGCGCCCATACGACGGCCTTCTCCAATCAAGTTATCGTTCGTTTGACCCAGGCGACGTTTATTGATGTACACCAGACGATCATCATTACGAGGGACGGATTCCAAGTTATCGGTAAGGTCTTGCAGGTTATCCTCAATCAAGTTTCTGCGCTTGCCAGTCAGCTCCTGGTCCACACGGCGGCCCTCACTCAATCGCTCGCCACGAACGATGCCCCAACGGCGCGACTGCAGCTGCTCATCCTCAGGCTCGATGCGGTTCAAGTTCTGGCGACGACGACCGACATGCACCAAGCGATCGCTGCGAGCGTCCACGGTGGGCAAGTCGTTGATGTCATTGGTCGAGGTGCGCTCTTCCCAGTTACCACCCAGCATACGTCTGAGGCCCTGTCCTATGTTACGCAGCAGAGGAACTCGATTGCCGACCAGTTGATTTCTGAAAGGTATCGCTTCGTCGTCATCATTGTCGCGCTGGTTGCCATAGATGTCTTCATCTTCGTTCAGCTGCTGGACCATGCGGCGGCTGTTAATTCCCAGCATGCGATCCTCATCTTCCAATTTGATGTCCCTATCCAAAACGTTGCTGGTCAGTGGGCGGACGTTCGAGTTGTCCTCGAGCAAAGCCAGTTCTTGGATTAGACTCTGCATAAAGTTGCGCAGGCCGATGTCCTCAGTGAGCAGCGAAATGTCCTGATCGTCCTGAATATTCTGAGCAGGCAACACCACACGGTTCTGGTTCTGCTGCCACATCTGTTGCTTACGCAGTGCCAGTTGCAAGTGCAGATCGCGCCATGGCATAACCATGCGCATCACCGGATTCATCTGACGGATGCGCTGGCCTAGACCGATCACATCCACGAAAGAGGGTCGCGGGCTGTTCTCAATCTGCGCCTGCACACGCTGGACGCGCTCCAATATCTGCTGGTCAAGATACAATTCGGGCAATATCTCCTGCACAGCAGGAACGATTAGCGACTGGGTGTCCTCGCGATCGCGGATAGCTAGTGTCAAGGCGTTGATGAGCAGGACGGGATTAACGTTGCGTCGCAGATAGACGACATTGCGCTCCAGGGTCTCAAAGTCGATGGCGCGCACCAGCAGGCGGTAGATGCCACGCAACTGCTGAACATGCTCCACATTGCGAATGCTATAGACCTCGCGCTCATCCAGGAGACGACGCTGACGGTCCAAGTCGATCACGCGCTGCATTTCCTTATCGATGCCACCGCGATAGCGCTCTGGGTTGATAATAAGGCCCTGGTCCAGCTCAATAAGATCATCCTGCTGCAAGGGCTGTTGAACTTGTTGCACAATGTCTAGAATAAACTTCTGGCGCAGCAAGTCCTCCTTGGACATGCGCACGACGCGCTGATCAACTGCGGAGTAATTGAGATCATTTGCAGTCACCGCTTTACTCCTTCTGGGCCACTTACCACTGCCAATGTCCCTCTCGTAGTCACGCTGGACAATGCGACCAGCGGACACGGTGCCAAGCACACAGACTACTAGCACAAGAAACTTATTCATCTTGTAAGTAGCAACTTCCTTGCAAACCAGAAGATGACTGCATTTTCAGCTGATCTCCACGGCGAATTTATACCCATTCTTATCGCCCAGTCTAGGCCTAATTGAATTTTTTGAGCATTCGATCTGAACTGGCAACGAAATCCTTATCAGTTCAGTTCCAGGGCATATATTATGCAATTACTTATAGACGGGTCTTCCAGCTAGTTCGAAGTCGAAGCCAAAGGTCGCCAGATTGCACACTGACTGCACTGACGCTGCATTCTGTGGGTTGATTGGCTGCCGATGCAGATAACGGGTCAGCTGAAGACGCTGCTTAATTAGTCCATTGCCCCATTGTTGGTGCCTTTGTTTCGTCAACAGCTAGAATTTCGCTACCATGCAGACTGCGAGTTATCTGCACATGTTTTCAATTAGCGGACTTGCAGTATTATTTACACAAACAAAACACATGATATGTATGCTTACCTATAGTACTGCTTAATCAGGTGTCATAATGCAGTTGTGTTATCTTCAAATAATATTGCATCTACAGCATTTTAATTCAAACAATTATGAATTTGGCCAACTGCATAATACACTTTCTAATTTTATTGCTCTAGCTCCATGCCCTCAGAGACATGCATAATATACATACACTGCGCGTCATCAGGTTAGCGCCCCCCCTTACACTCATTTTCTTTTACGTTTTTCTCTTTGCCTATTGCACGCAACTTCTTGGTTTTTTTTTTATTTCATTATCATCATATGAGATGTCTCTCATACCAAAAAAAAAGCGCGAGTGAAAATCCGTTATGTTTTATTTTCTATTCTTTTCTATTTTCGCAAAAAATGTGTGCACTTATTTTGCGTCATCAGATTAGCGCCCCCAAATGCAATTGTAATTATCTTGCTTATTTTGGCAATTACACTCACCAAATTTTTTGTGAAGCNCCAACCATATCCTTGAATAATATTGAACAACTTTATAATTCCACTCCTAATCGAATTTTTGAAGTAATTTCAAACAAAAAACGGCACTACGCACTACTAATATTACTTAAAAATAATAATAGCTTAAAATACGGTGTTATTTTTGGTCATTAACTTAAATAAATTGAATTTAGCGCAGGGGGCGCTAATCTGATGACCAAATTTTTGTTACATGTTTTTTGTACATTTTACAAAAAAAAATATTAAAAAATAATCCTTATTGTTACAGTAGCCATTCTTTTTGTATTTTAAAGATAAATAAATGGAGTATAWTGTRAAAAAAWTTCAAAGATGGAGCTCTGATAGTTTAGATTTTATTTAGCTTTGTGGTTGAGTGTAAAGGGGGGCGCTAACCTGATGACGCGCAGTGTATGTATGTGTATAGTTTTTGATATTTCAATAGATAATCGTTTATAGATATTAAACTGATAAAGTTCTGCCCTGTCACGCCCCTAAATAAAAATGTAGCTATGTATGTAATTTTAGGGCTGAGAATCCAAAATGGAGGTTTAATAGTAATTCACTCAGCGATAACATATTGGCACGCCCTCTGAACGTAGATATGTACATATATGTACATGTAGGAATTATATATTTCTACTTTTATTTGAAACTTTTAAGCAGATTATTTTGAATGATTTTATTTGAAGATTTTGGTTATCTATGCGAGTATAAATGTATATATGTATGTACATATTTCCAAATTGTAGCACCTCGAACATTTGTTGTTGCACTATTTRCAGTTTTGAATGGCCAATTGGTTTGCGTTCATGCGGACAGACAGACAAATACATACATGTGTACATACCACTACTAGTGTACACACATAGCAAGATACACATTGTACAAAGTCTATATACTCTTCTCACTTCGCAAGCGTGCATTAAGCAAGAATATTAACTAACAATAGCATATTAGCTAAGTTAAGTAACTTAAATACGCAGGTTTTGTATTTGCACTTGTAGCTTTTTCAATTGCACGATCTCTTTTGATTCTAATAGGGATGTGCGATGATTTGATTAGTCATCAAGATATCGATATGTGAAAATTAACGATAATAGTTTATATCCGGCCAGCTTTTGATTACTTGAAGTGCTCGCAATTGTAAATTTTAAATCTGTATTTAAAAGTTTAAAGTACATAGAGAAATGTGTTCTTAATAATTTCCTTGGAATTCAAAATATACAGTTAAGGTGAGTGCAACTCCCTCTCTGCATATACTTTTAGCATCATCTGAATAACAAACACCTAAAGCAGCCAAGTCTCTAACAGCGTGTGCGTGTGTGTGTGCGCTCGCATATTTCATTACGTTACGTACATACAATACGTAATAGTGCAGCTCGCAGCATCCGAGCAGCTGTAACGCGGGCTGCACTGTGGGGTCGGGCCCATTGTTGTGATTGGGACAACCGAGTGATTGGCGATTGTGAAAGGATTCTGTCAGCTCTGAAGGGGCGATTGCAATTTTTCTATTCACATTTAAATTGGCAATTCGTTTGGCCGTGGCTTTTGTGTGTTGACAGTCACTTTTTAGTTTTTTTTTCTTTTTGTTGAGCTTTCCTTCTTTTTGGATGCGCTGCGTTGCGACAATTTGCAACGTGCCTGGCATGCAACGGAAGTGAGCGCGCTACGTGGGTGCCACATTGCTGGGACTAAACTGCTGGCATTGTTGCCGCTGCTGTTGCTGCCTTTTCTAATGTAATTGCAATTGTTTGCCGGGCTGCCAAATGGTCAGCAACTTTGATTTGGCCTTTGCTGTTGCACTTTTTCAACTTTTTGCTGCACGAAGCTGAAGGCTCAGCATTTTTATGCATGCCAGGCGCATTTGCACGCCATTAATTGCTTCTTTATGCTCAGCTGCTGCTGCTGCTGCTTCAGCTGCATGTTCAGCAATTATGCAGCGACAATTTTGCATTAATTGCTCCTTTGTGCTGCTGGCCAGCAGCCCAGCCCTGCGTGCCGACTGGCTGACTGAGTGGACAGCGTGCCTACAGTAAAAAAGCCAACTAAAAAAGGAGCCTGGCATTGTTGGCGAATGCATTTGCAGCTCCAGCTCTCGCGCTCTGAATGCCGCTGCTCAGTGCTCGGTTTAATTGCTGACAGGCTCATTTGCCGGAGCCCAGGGTCCGGGCATAACTTTTATATGTCCTGTCCAGTCCTGTCCTGTCCTGTCCATGGCCCATTTCATTAATGCAGTACGCCAGCTCTTTATCGCGCCTTTTGTTACTGAGAAAATAATTTGTGAAACAAAATGTCATTTATTCTGCAGGGTAATTTCGTATTGTTATTGTTTTTACTCTACTTGTGCGTGAATTTCGAATTTTAAGACTAAGACTATAGCATATTCCAGTGTGAATATCAGTATGCGCAAGACATTGTCATCTATGATTCCACTTAAAGCACTCGGAGGCAGCCCCATTGCCAAGCGATAAGCTGTGCATATCCTTCGCACTGATGTGGGAATGTCAAGGCATCAGTATCTCTGGCTGTCGTCAGCCTTGCCATCCAGCCTGCTGCCAAGCAAATGAGGTATAAGCCGGCTGGAGCGGGGCTGCGGTGGTTGCTTTCGCTTCGTTTCGCTTCTGCGTCTCGCCTTGACTTAAATGCGATTTAATGCCTTTTTTGTTTGTCTTCCATGCGTCGGATATCCGTTGACGCAGTGGGCGTGATAAACCACAGAGCAGAGAAGAGGGCGACGGAGGGGAAGCAGGAGCCGGAGCAGCCTTGTCTGACGGCTTCATTCTCTCATCCCCATGCCGTGGTGCGTGCCGCGACTGGGTCGCTAATTTGCTTGGCGTTTTTTATGTCTCATATTCTCCTTGGCGTCTTAATCTTATATCCTTTTTTTGGCTGGCTTGGCACTTAAAAAATGTAGTCCTTTGTTGGGCCGATAAAACTGCTTACAAATGCTTAAAAAATTAAAATTTATTACACGCGATTATGTGCCACACTGGCAGCAGCTGCCAGTAGAAAAAGGAAAAAGCTTAGAAGTCAAGTCCCTACAAGTATCCACTCCCCCTTCCCCAGTCGCAAATACAAGAGATGCAAATGGAGTGCCATCTTTTTCGGTTCGCCATATTTCCGGCCAGTGGACATTGCCCAATTGATTCATGACCCCACAATATCCTCTGCGTAATGGGCAATGGGCAATGGGCAATGGCCGAGGCTACCTTAAAGCGCCAACTTCAGCAAAATAATAACAAGCGGCAAAAAATAAATATAAATATACTACTTCATAGTAATAATGAAGCGCCGGAGCAAAGAAAAGTGCCACGCCAACGCATGGCAAAAAGAAAATATTTCTTTTTATCGAAACGGATGTGAGTGTGCCAGGAATGAAATAGCAGAAGAGAGAAAAAAAAAAATAGAAAAAATGAGAAAGGGCGCAAGGCAAAGGACGACGTCGTTCCAAATAAATAAAACAAAAATTTGTACTACACTGCGGGCTGTGTCTGTGGGCAGGGGGAGAGTTATCTCAGCTACTACTACTCCCACTGCGGCCTTTGTCACCTCTTCATGCACGCCCACAGAGTTCAGAATGATTCGCCTCTCCACTCTCCGCTCTCCCCTCTAGCATCTCTTTCTGGCAACCGCATAGAGCAATTCAAACAACTTTCATTTCACACGTTTTTCGTTTGTCCTTTGCGCGCTCCGCTCGCAGTTTTTGTTTGCCTTGAAACAAGTGACTTGAGAGAATGAAATTGAAAGAGCTCCTCAAGTGTGAGTAGTGGCTGTGCGTGAGTATGAGCTTGTGTGTGTATTGTCATTGGCATTTGGCATGAGTGCACGTGTCCTGCGCGTGTCTGCTAGTTTTGATAGCCATTGACTCCTGCCGAGGAGGGCTGTAAGTAGTTGACCCGTTAAATTTTGATAATTGATTTGCCAGCCATTGTTGTCTCTGGCTGCTGGCTGAGGGAATCCGCAAACATCTTATGCGAAAGGAATGTGGAATATTTATTGTTTCACTCTCTCGGTAGTTCATAATCCATCAGTTCTAGGCAAGAGAACGTTGCATACATCTAGGCTAAGCCTAACCAACTGTTAACTAATTATTTACTTGGGCATGGCTATCGCTATATCACTTAATTACCAGATCTTTGGTGCTCGACTGCAGATTGACAAGCTCATTCAAGAAATGCCCTCGTCTGGCTTCCGGTCTGTTCTATTCTGCTCTGTTCTATTCTATTCTCTGGCTGGGGGCTTGCATTACTGTGGAGCTTATTGTCCTGAGCGCCTTGTGGGCTGGCTGACAACTTCATTGGGCAAATATTTTTGTAGCATTTCGTAGTGCTTCGCACAAGTGATTTGCACTGTGACTGTGACTGTGACTGTGCCTCGACTCGACTCGGGTGAGGTCAAATACAAATAGAGAGGGACTGTCTTTATTGCCGGGTCTCTGGGTCTCGGACCAGGACACTATAAAAACGACCTTGCGGCAACAAAAGGCAGCCAGACGTGAGCTCTCATTCGCTTGTGCTCTGTCTCTTTGTGTGTGTGTGTGTGTGTGTGTGTGTGTGACTGTGCAGACAATCAGCGCACGACTTTTGGCTGCCGGGTTGGAGTTGCCAGCCCGAGGGTGGGGGCTGCATTGGTGGGGGGGTTTTGCTCTGTGGGCAGACGTCGCGCGTTCGCTTTCTTATCAGGACTTTTGCTGCGCTGCAGCGTGGCATTTGTGTGAGTTTTATGTGCGGCTTTTGAGCTGGTTATGATGCTGTCGCAATTGCCATTCGGCGCACCGCCCTGGCCACCCCCCGTCGCCAGCAACTGCGGGCTGCTTCTTTGTTTTGGCTGCTAGCTGAAAAGGTGTCAATTGTTTTTTAGATGGGCGAGCGACTGAGCGCTGCTTTCCGCAACGCAACGCAACGCCGCGCCGTGCCACGCCTCATCGCAGCTCTCACAGTCCGTTGCATAAACAAGTGGGCGTAGTGAATCCCATTAAGCATTAAGAGTTGAGACTGTTGAGCGCTGAGCGCTGAGCAACCCCCTCGGTACAGTAGACAACCCCTCGAGCGGCCGGCAATTTAAACTAATAATCAACGCATCAGCAAACATTGTCGTTATTATTCACGCGCCTGTGGCGCCCCCTGGCGGTTGACTGCTGACAGATTGCCTGGCTGGTCGGGTTGTTTGCTCTCGGTATAGGGATTGGTGTTGGTGTTGGTATTGCTGTTTCTATTGCTGTTGCCTGTGTGTGGGTCTTACAAGTGTATTCATCAATCAGTGGGGCGTGAGCTATTTAAAAATCATTTATTCGTTTACAGTTACAATTTGCCTTTCGTTTTGTATCACATTAAAATATAGATTTTATATATACGCACATATATTACACAAGATCGGGCCAACAATATATATTATATATTTATAGATAAAGCACTAAGAACTTAGAAGCAATTAAAACTATGTATCGAAATTATAGACTTGGGTTTGTGGTAACTGAACGCAAGATGTATTCAAACTTGTCCAAACTATTGTTATCCTGAGCTCTTCATTGATCATTGATTGATTGCTTATCCATCCATTGCTTACCCAAAGTCCGTTGCATCTACTCAAGAATATACTCATGCGCCAGTTTGATAGGAACAATTTGAGTTTTATTTATTTCGGTTTCCGTTCAAATTTCTGCTTTGGTTTTTGTTGGTGTATTTCGTTTTGGATAGCATATCCGATATTTTATATATTTGTGTGCTGTTTATATACATAGTTAAGTACCACATAACCAAAGGGAGTAGACGTAGACATAGTCGGGGAGGGGGGAAACAGAAATACGCAACGTAAAACAGAAACACTCAAAGATTTAGCTAATACTAGGGTCCTACATAAGTAAGTGGGCAGCTCATAAGTGGCTGCTACCAGTTTGGGTGGGGCGGGGTGCAAGGGGGCGGTGCGGTACTTAGTCGCTGTGAATGCTCCATATCTAGACCGCGTGCTCCGCAGCGGCAGCGCCGTAGCGCAGTGGAGTCGGTCAAATAATGTTGGGCGGCGTTGTGGCCAGCGCTGGGACGACGGCGACGGGCGAGGACTTGGATGACTTGACACAGCCGTAGGAGGAGATGCCTGTGCCGCTGCTGCTGGGCGGTGAGGGCGGAGTATCGGGACTGATCAGCGGCAAATAGCGCCAGGGATGATAGATGCTGCCGGCGTACATCGCCTGCAGTCTCGCCTGCAGGTCCAGCGCCAGTGTTGGGTCCAGCGGATAGTGCGCCAGCCCCGGGAAGCCGCCGGGCACGCGCGGCAGCGACAGCTCCAGCGGAGACCCAAAGCCATACTTGGCGGCCAGCGAGGTGGGCGAGTGCGARTGGGAGTGCGAGACGGCGGCAGCGGCAGCGGCAGCAGCCACTGCGCTCAGCTGCGCATGGTGATGGTGGGCGTGGGCGTGGGCGTGCGCATGGGCGGGATGCGGATGTGGATGATGCGGATGGTGGTGATGATGCGGCAGGCCCTGAGCATGCGGCGAGTGCTGCGGCTGGACTGGCTCCTTGCCCAGCTGCCCAACGACCGTCAGTCCAGCGTTGTTGCCTGAGCCTCCGCCAGCGCCTCCGCCTCCACCGCCACCCGGCACCGGGGACTTGTTGAGCGTCTTGGGCTTGCGTCGAGGCCGATACTTGTAGTCGGGGTGCTCTTTCATGTGCAGCGCGCTGTAAATTGAGTAAATGTTGAAACATTGATCAAAGATCGGGCCACGGCGGATCGATATTAAAACGATTCAACGATCACGATGATATCACAAAGTCAATCTGTTGCCCACTTCCCTCGGCCATAAAATCGAAGCCGCACAATGCAGACAAGACAATTACTTGACTAACAGATACTCTATAGTGTTTGAGATAAAATAGCTTCAGTTAATCATGGAATGAATTGAGGCAAACGGTCATTCAATCTATTTTCAAGGTAATATAACCATTGAATTTCCGGCCAGAAAATTACACGACTAAGATACACTCTATAATTTTGAAGAAATTTTGAGAGTATATTAGTTAATCAGGGATTAAATGAGCACGATAAGATTATGGATTTGAATGTAGGAAAAAGCTTAGAGCTTGCGCATAACAATTACGTAATTAAGATATAGTCTATATTTTTAGGAGTGTAATTCAGGAAATGAGATAACGCAAATAGTGAATTTGCCGGCATTAAAAATTATTAGAATCTGGCAATTGACTTTTATTAGTAAAGTTTTAATACTTTCTATAAGTATACGAATTAAAAGTATTGCCTCTGAGATTGAATTTTAATTGAATTGAAATTATTTAAAGATATATTTATCTATAACTATTACGCCTCAGCTCGTACGCGGCTTGAGTCGTACAGGGTATATTAACTGAAGCCAAAACCCTTTCATAAAACCTTTCCTGCAAGACTCAATGCTTATCTGATTCCATTTAGCAAGGCAGTGTTTCTAAAGTTCTCGAGCTCTGTAAGAGTTCCCAGCTGCAACAATGCGCAATTGTTGACATTTGTTTGACTAACGATAAATGTTGATAAAAGGTGTGTATTATGGTGATGTTGTTGTTGTAGTTGTAGTTGCTGTTGTTGTCACTTTTGCTTTCTTTGCCCTGGCTTTGTTGCAGTTCCCATACCCTAATTGGTCAGCCCTGTTCTGTTATCTCTGCCCGAAAATAAGTGAAAGAAGTAAATTTGAGACTTGAAACCGAAATCGAAATCGAAATTGAAATTGAAATGATATGCGAGTGTGCCGTGCGTTATCGACGCGTCGCCTCGCACATTGGCAAATATTTGAACAGCATTTCTTGTTTTCGGGCTCGATGGTTGTCTTTTATTTATTACATATACTTACATATATTATTTGTATATGACTTCGGTTGCCTTAACCAAAAACTTGGAATGGCCATTAGGTTAAGCCCCAAGCCCAGTGCGTTCTGCTCAGACGGCTCATTAATTATTGTCAGTTAACATTTACACAGCCAATACAATCAATAAAAGGACTTAGACAGCGCAAACATTGCTCACTTATCAGACTCTCTATATATATCGAATGCAAAATGCAAAGGCCCATTAAAAGTCTCTATAGAGCTGTAGTTGTTTGCCCAAGATATGCCAATCGAATGCGGCCCGACCCAGAGCTCCAAAGGCTACTCAATGCCACTTTGGAGCCCCACAATAGCTGCCCATTGTCTTAGCTAATCGCTCAAATTGTAACCAGACAACAAACCCACTTGCACACGCACACACGCACACATGCACACATGCACACAATACACTCTCTCACACACACACATACATACACATTCATACTCACTCACCGCAAACGCTTGGCCTCGTCAATGAATGGACGCTTCTGTGATTCGGTGAGCAACTTCCATTCGGCACCCAAACGCTTCGATATCTCTGAATTGTGCATTTTGGGATTGTCCTGCGCCATTTTGCGTCGCTGGCCCCGGGACCACACCATGAACGCGTTCATTGGTCGCTTAATGTGGTCATGATGCGAACTGCCATTCGAGCTGGAGCTGTGTTGTTGTTGTTGTTGTTGTTGCTGTTGCAATTGCTGCTGCTGCTGCTGCTGCTGTAGTTTAGGCACCGCTGGAGGCGGTGGTGGCGGCGGCGTTGTGGCTGCTCCGATTGTCGTTGGCGGTGAGAGGCTGCTGCTGTGGTGACTGTGACTACTGCTGCCGCTGCTCGTGTAGCCATTGCTGTTGTGGTTGTGGTTGTGACTGTGGTTGTGACTGTGACTGTTGCTGTGACTGTGATTGCGGTGCAGCAGCGCCGAGATGCTCGTCATGGCTGTGCACTGGGACTCTGGAGCTGGCTGCGTCAGGTGAGTGGCCCGATTGCCGGCTGTCGGGTTATCCAGGGACTCCACTGCGGTGCACTGACCGTTTCCTCTATGTCTCTATGCGCCGAGATGTGCTGCAATGCAAACGGTAATGGAGTTCAATAGATATGCTTTGTTCGTGCCATCACATGCCATCACATCGCATCGCAGAGTGGCAGACGTGAGTTGTGTGTGTGCTCAGTTTTGTTTTGGAGATTTTCTGGTCAGGGGTTACTTCAATGGAGTCCGCAACAAATTGCGAGGGGTGTTAAAGCTGGGCATGAGTCAGTGCTCAGGGAAACACATAATGTTAAAGTCGACCTATATGTTGAGGGAGAAGCTTTGTACTTTTTAAATATTTTTATAAATATTTCCCTATATTGAAGGCAGGAAACTCCTTTGGTATTCCCTTATAAAGATACCAGCTATGAATCGTACAATAATAAACAAATATTTGGAGCCCAGTAGTTTTTATAAGATACAACTAGGCAAATAGAGATAACATTAAATATTTAACATGAAATTAAATAACAATTTACATATGTGATTTAAAGGAAGAACCTCCAAGAACCGATAAGAGCTAGCTGATTTTCTAGGAGACTTACTACAATATTTACTTAATTAAGACTTCAAAGCAATTTCGATATTTATTTATTATCTATTTTTCAGAAAAATAGTTCCGATATTTTAGAAATTAGTGAAGTGCTGGACTTACTGAAGAAATTTGCCTTAATATATGTAAATCTGATATTTATTTATGCACCATTTATTATTATTTATTATTATTTTAAATTACATTTAATATTTTGGTAGTTAGTGAAGAGTGGACAAGTATTTTGATGCCAAATATATAAATGCATACTTCG